CCCACTCTGGTTCCTTTCCAGCCTCAGGCCTGTCATGACGGCTGTCTCCATGATCCTCCATCTGCCTGCACGGACAGAACTCTATGGAACAGTTCAGTTCCGCGGGGAAGTTTCTGGAGAGCAGTCATTGTCATTATTATCATCACGCTGATAAAAGGACCACGCTGCTAAGAGAACCTTACTGCTGCCAAGATCATGCTGCTGACAGTAACAGTGATTTAATAACATGATTTTATTTTAATTGATTTTTATTGTTGTCTGTGTAAAACAGGTCTCTCTTGTAAATGAGTTCTTGTGACTCAATGAGACTAACCTGTATAAATAAAAATAAAAAATTAAAAAGAGGTGAAGGTGGACGACGATGAAGCAGAAGTGAAGGCAGAGAAGACAAATCGTTCTCGGTCTGGTTCCATTTTTGACTGAAAGTGAGAATTATTCAGACTGTTCAGGTGAAATGTTCGAGGAAAATGAGCCTTTTCTGGCATCAATCATTGGAAATAACAGGAGGAATTTCAATCTGGGAGAAAATCTGCGGTGATTTTCAAAAAGCTTGACATTTCAGACTGAAGCTGATGAGATGAAAGATGCAGGAACTTTTTATAGTTTAGGAACGACTCAAACTCGAACCCTGACTTCACTTTCACACGGCTGGAAAAGAAGTAAAACATCAATAATTAGCAGCAAAAATCAATTTCCATCAAACACTCGTTTATCTGTCCGTCAGGCGGTGAACCCGATGAATCGCTCCGTGTTGTTCTCTCCACAACGTGACTGCAGTTATCTCAGCAACATTTTGTTAAAGTGTGAGCACAAAGAGAGCTGAGATTTCACCGTTTAGCTGCGTTCGGCTGTTTTAAAACATCAGGCTGGTTCTGTGAAGAGCAGGCGGCCATCAGGCCACTGACTGACCGACTGACTGATGGTCCTCCTGCTACACATGAAAAGCTACTTTCTGGAGGTCCAGAGGGGTGGAGGCAGGTGGGGGTGTTCAGCTTTCCCTCCCACATTTTGGTGTGGTCGGTCCGCAGAGTTGAACCGGCAGCCTTCCGATCACAGGCGCACCTTCTCTATCCTCTGCACCACCACTCCCCCATTTGCAATATATAAAATGAAATGACTAGCACGGTTAACCTGGAGTTTAGTTTTTCCCAGGCACTTCAAATGCATCATGGATCTACGTCTTCCATCCAGACGGACCCTTGTGAACATCTAGCAGGTTTCCAGAAGTTGGTTTATCAAATCATCCGTTTTATTGATGACAGGTTCGAGATCGCTTCGTTGTAAACGGGAGGAGCAGATCTGAGGTTTCCGTTTCCACTTCAGAACTCGGAGACGGTCCGGCGGGTCGGAGGATATTTGCAGCTCTGACTCGGTTCTTAAAATAAGTCGGTTTGGACCGGCAGCTGCTGCGAGCAGGAACAGGTGGTTCGTTTTACAGCTCCGACCCTCAGAACGCAGCTCAGCGCTTCATCTTCCACGTTCCGTTTCCTCCCCGTCCAACCTTCAGGTGGTTTCGTTTCCACACTTCCTTTTTCTTTCCCCCCATTCTTTCCTTGTTTCTAGTTTTCAACTTTATCCTTGATTTAGTTTTTCAGTTTCTTTTATTCTTTATCGTCCGTTCTTTCCCCGTTTCTTCCATTAACTTTTATTTCCGTCAGTGTTTGTCACATTTTAATTGTTTTAATTGTTTATGAATCATTCAAACTTCTGTGATCCAGTTTTCTTCAATATGTTTTTCAACGTGATTCTCGTCCCAGTTTTCATCTATTTCAACAAGTCATGAATCGAAACGTTCAGCTGTTTCAGGACAATCCTGCTGTGACTTCTGGTGTTGGTGCAACTTTAACTTTTTGAAATATTTAACCTTTTCTGACATTTTATTCCTCATATAAAATGAACTGAGCTCATTTTACCTCCTTCAAATCTTTAGATGTGTTTACAGCCTTTTACTGCTCCTGTCACATTTTGTTCTGCTTCAGCTTCCTTCTGCAAATTTAAACTTTTTTCAGCTACTTTCAGCTGTTTTTCAGCTGTTTTGTGCTCTTTTCAAATTATTTCTGCTAATTACAACATTTTTGTGCTTCTTCAAACTTCTTTCTGCTAATTTCAGCATTTTCTGCTATTTCAGCTACTATTTTTATGCTCATTTTAGCTTTTTTGGCCAATTCCACATTTTTAGAACTCCTTTTGACTTTTTTAGCCTAATTCAGCAAAAATGTGCTCCATCTACTTTGATCTTGTAATTTAATCTTCTTTCTGCTTTTCTAATTTACTTTTCACCTGTTTGGTTTTTTGTTGTTGCCAATTTCAGCTTTTTTCAGAAAATGTCAACTTTTCTGCTTCTTTCAGCTTAACTGGGCAAACAAGTGTCCTTTAGCTTGTTCTACCTTTTTAGAATTGTTTAGCTAATTTAAGCTAAGACATCAGCAAAATTCAGGTTTTTGTGGTACTTTCTGCTGTTTTCAGCCTAATTAACTTATTTATGTTAATTTCAGCTTCTTATCTCTATTCAGTTTTTTTCTGCTCTTTCAGCTACCATTTAGCTCTTTTGATGCTAATTTTAACTTTTCATCTAATTCCACAATTTATAGCTCATTTCAGTTATTTTCCCTTCCTTCTGGTAGTTTTAGCTTCTTCTTTTCAGCTATGTTTTGCTAATTTCAGCCTTTTTTAAAAACAAATTTCCTATTTTTTGTGCTCATTTCTGCTTATTTAAACATAAATCAACAAATGTTTTTCTGCTTTCTTCTGCTTTTTCTTCCATTCCAGCTTGTTTCAGCTGTTTTTTTTAGTAAGTTCTTCAATAAACACTCACACTGCATTCTCACAGGAATAGTTGCCGGTAGTTTTTATTTTTCTGTTTCTTTTCTTTCTGCTCTCCTTCACTCCTTCCTTTTATTTTTAGACTTTTGTACTTTTTCTCTTTCATGTTTTGTCTCTTTTTTATAGTTCCATCTTTCCACTTTTTATTCCTTCACTCCTTTAAACCTGTTGACCTTTGTGTCTAAACTTTTTTATTCATCTTTTTTCTTTAATTTATTCTATTTTTGGTTACTCTCCTTTTGGTTAGTTTTGTTGTTGTTATCTATTTTACCTTTCCTTTGATCTTTTCTTCGGTTTATTTTTATCCGTTGTTGTTTTCAGATTCATCTGTTTCTCTTGGTTTTGTGTCTTTTTATTAATTTGTTTTCTGTTATACTTTGTTAAATTTTCTCGTCTCCAAATGTTTTTGCTTCCTGTATTCTCCACATTTTATTGTAAAACGTTTAAATAAAAATCACCAGAACTTAATTTTTATAAAGTAAATAAAAGCCGACGGTTCTGTTCGTCTCTTTTTGAGGCTCGTCAGTAAACTGGACAGACGCGCTGCGTTTCAATAAACGTAATAAAACTCGACCAGACTTTGGTTCCGTCACGCGTGTCCACACAAGACCTGATCAGGTAAAAAGAAACGGGATAACGAGGCGGTTGTAAATCCCCCGGAGCTTTAATTGGGCTCGACAAGCGGCGGCTCTGTGTGCATGTGAAACGTTCTCCGGGTGTTTTCTCGTCCGGTTGTTTTGGACGTGAAGCGGCGGTGGCGATGGTCAGGGAGATAAATCAAAGCTCCACAAACACCCGCGGGATTGTTTTAGAGACGTAAACAAACGTTCCTCACATCAGCTCTTAACTCAGAGTCTTCGGACTGACCCGGTCTCTTCCAGGTTCTGAAACGATCCGTATCGAACAAAAACACAACTGGGTCCACCGAGACAGAATTTATTCAACAGAAATGAAGCCAAAATAAAAAACCTGGGAGACTCAGATCCACGTCAGATCTGGAGCATCCTGGTGTGAGTTGACACAACACCAAGGTAGAAAGACATCAGCAATGAGCTCGGAGGGAAGGGTCAAAGGTCATCCCCAGACTATGTGGACTCCATCACTCTACAGAGAAAGATTATCCAAGAGTGGACAACACTGAGGACAGCTGACAGCCTTACAGCAGATTCACCCTGAAGGGCAGACCGTGCAGTGATCAGACATAAACTCCATCTGAGAAAAAGGTCAAAGGTCATGGCCTCTTCTCTCTAAAGACACAAGAATCACAAGACTTCTGGACCAGAACCAGACCAGAGGACATATGTTTACCCAGAATGCACTGCAGCAGACAGCTCCTCCCAACTGTCAGCACGGTGGTGCAGGGCTGATGGTTCGAGCTCCCGTCAGTCACTGAGTGGACCAGAACTCCTCTGTAGACCAAAGGGTTCTGGAGCCCAACAGCTGAAGCTTGGACCAAACTGGGTACAACAGAGCCATAATCCCAAACACAGCAGCCAATCCACAATAGAACGGGTCAGAACAGAACCACGGTGCTGTTGTGGTCCAGTCAGAGTCCAGAACCTGAACCTGACCGAAACACTGTGGACCTTCAGAGAGTCGAGCAGAACTCAACGATGTAAAGAGTGGGCCACAGAGAGTTCTGCTGGAGGTTCTACAGCTTTAACATTTGGACTTTTAGAAACTCTTGAGTCCGTCTCCAAGTGGAAAACAGAACCAAACACAGACACCTCTGGACCCGAACACCACCGGACCCCCTCCTGGGTCTGTGTTGACTTCCTGTCCTCCGTCAGCTCAGACCCAAGGCTGCAGCCCGTCCACGCTCCGGTTCTCATGTATTTATAGCAGCTCGTCCTCGAGGGGCTCACAGGAACCAGAACCAAATGGGTTTGTCGGGAATGTTGTGGGGGAAGTGTGGCCCGCGGCCCACCCACCACCTTCCTCCTCTGTACACAAACTCTGCTCCCAGATCACTTTTCTGAGCGTTTCATTTGAAGTTTTTTATTTGTCCAAAACGTCTTGGGTCGTCTGGACCGCAGAAGTCCCGTCCCTGCGTCTGTGAAGAACTTCTGAGGAGGTTCTGTTTGATCTGGTCGATCAGCAGAGATAATGTGAGCTCGGCCCACCTCCCCGCCCGCCCACCATCACATGGACCCGTCACACACAAGAAACGGACTCACCGTGACTTCTTGCTTTTGAACTTGTCGTGGTGGTGCTGCGCTCCGGGCGAGCTCTGCTCAGAGGCGTCTCGCGTCACGACGATAACAGAGGAACAAAGTTGGAGCTCAGAAGCTTCATGAGGCCTTCACTGACCAGCTTCTCCCCTCCCCTCTGCCCTGTTGTCACTTTTTCCAGGCGCCCGCCTCTTTTGGCCGAGCCCCCGAGCCGGGAGCCGGGGGGTCGTGTCCCGGCCCTCCTCCCTTCACGTCTCGTTGCTCCAGCCCTGCCTTCCTGCCACATTCTGCACATGTGGGCCTGAGCTGAAGAGAGGCGGGACTCGACTCGGAGTGTTGTGTTGTCATGGCAACCACCGCCGCTAGGCTTCAGGAGCGCTCGCAGTCGGGCAGAAAGGTCCGATCCAGCGGTCCACGTTTCATATTTGATCAAAAGGTTTGCTGCGACCCATTTTCTCCTCTTCAACCAGAAAACACACCTAAAGGGATAGTTCGCATATTTTGTGTAAAGATTTTAAAGAATAAAGGCCGAGCTTTGTGTGAAGGAATGCATATCGCCCGCCGTGTCCACGCCAAAGTTTTAAACCACGTCATCTCATGAGATCAGTTAGAGCTCCAAATGTTAGGTTTGACTTTAATAATAATAATAATTATTATTATAAACCTATAATAAACCTATAATAATTATAATTATTATTATTATAGGTTTGACTCGGCTACGACGACACCAGATTATAGATAAATATCTGTGAATGTGACTGACTTAAAGCCTTCATGGGTTTGCTGCGGTGGCCATCTTGGGACAGTTGTGGACGTTTATGTAAACAGAGTTAAAACCAAAGATGGCTGCTGTCATCTGAAAATAACGTCAACATAAACGCAGGTTTTTTTTTATGTGAACATGATTTTATAAATATTTTATTAGCAATGGGTTGGAAACCACATATTAGACTAAATTACTTTATTTTGGCAGTAATCATCTTGATAAAAAAATAAGAAATGCCATTTCCTGTGAACACATTGCTGAATGCTTATTGCAGAACTTGCTGAGAAACTGAGAAAATTAGCTAAAAAAAAGGCTTAAATGTAGCTGAAATGGAAGAAGCAGCTGAAATTAGCAGAAGAAAACCATACGGAAGAAAAATGTATCACAATAGTGTGAATGCTTCATAAACATTCACACAACAACAGGCCCTGTTTACACATGAACGATCTCTGGAAATGTTACAGTTTTTCTGATGTTGCAATTGTGAAAAAGTCACGTTCAGGCGGTAAAGCTGCGCTCGTTGAATCTGCTGTAGTTTCCATGTCAGGACACAAGATGGCGCTGTGATTTTTGGGTTTGAGCAACACGCACAGACACTTTAGTCTGAGTTACTTCCAAAATGGTGAAACACCGATGTTGGTTTGGACCTCAGATAAGGTTCAGTTGCTCCACACGGTGAAATCAGGGTGATCAGGACAAACAGCACTCTCTGCCCACCATCGTTACGGTTTCACTCTGAAAAACTACTGACTGCAGCCGTCTGTAGAGCACATGCAGCATTTTACACCGATGCTGGGGGTTTACTAAAACCTCCACTCTGAGACCTGGGTTTAAAGAGCTTTGGTGTCTGAGAAAACCACAACCGTTCATTGTGTACACAAACAGCCGAAGCACAGCAGACATGCTATGATTTTCACAACAAAAAAGGACCCAGGAACAGGGTCTTGGTGTGATATGTACCACTTACAATATAAATATGAAGAGAAAAGAGGAAGAACATGAAGACCGAGTCACAGTTGATCCAGAATAATCCATTGCTCAGGGGTGCTACCAAAGGTGGGCCAGTGGGGCCAGTGGCACAGATCACGTTAGTTTATGTTTTTATGTAATGCCTATTGATTTTGTGACAAAAATGTGACTGAACACAAGAAAAGCTAAATGAAAAATAAACAAAATCAGTTTCTCCTGTGATCAGGCGCCTGTAAACCACTTCCTGTCTTTAGATTCTGTCCGTTTGTTCTGAAGAGGCCCGGCTCGGCACATGGCATTTTCAATAATTGCTGACATTTACGGATGTTTTAAACATCAAGACGCAGAAACACAAAGAAAACTTTCATAATGTGCAAAAAATGAAGATGGTGATTCAAAAAGCAATCCATGTGACATTTTATTTATTTATTTATTTATTTATTTATTTATTTATTTATTTATGTATCTACGCAACAATATCAGATTAAAAGTATGAGTTCAAGTCACTCAAAAAAATGGTTAGAATCAGTTGATTTGCTGAAATATCATTCGCTGCAAAAGACGAGAAGCAATAACATTTTGGATTGTCTGTTAGCAAAATATCTGTTCAACCAGAGGACAAGAGGACTGGTTTTAATGAAACCGACGTACATTTTAAAGATCAGATTGCGATCTGTGCCTGTGGTCGATCACGTGACCTCCATCAGACCACAGTGTGAAAAGTCCACAAGAGAACAGTAGCTAAAAGCTAAAGCTATCAGAAAAGTAGCTAAAGTCTAAACTCATCAAAACAGTAGTTACCGGTACAAGTTTAAACCATCAGAACAATAGCTAAACATTATTGGAAAAGTATCTAAAGGTTAAACCTATCAAAGCAATAGCTAAAGGCTGAAACAATTAGAATAGTAGCTAAAAGCTAAAACCAGTAGAGTAGTAGCTGAAATGCTAAGCATCCCACGTATGATATAAATACTGATACAGCATCCTGCGGATGACAAATGCTGAGTCAAATGTCTCTGAGCAGATCAAAACCATAGGACCAGTCTAACTAAGAAATAATATCCAACATAGATGATATAAATGCGGACTCAGCGTCCAACAGATTATATAAATGCTGACTCAGCATTCCACGGATTATAAATGCTGACTAAGCATCTCACGGATGATTTAAATGCTGATTCAGCGTCCCGTGGATGATATAAATGCTGACTCAGTGCCAGGCGGATGATATAAATGCTGATTC